TTTGTGTTATAATTTGTAGCCATTCTAGAATGAAAGAAGCATAATTTATATTTATTTACTAATCTTTTATGTTGGTTACGAGATCGGTCAAACCTATCGAACCCATAGATATTCATTAGTGAAAATAACAGATAAAATATAAAGTTTTTCCTTAAGAAACATTTGATAATTATCTGGACATTATATAGATTTCGCATATGAAATTTGAAAATTTTCTGATGCATAAAAAATATTTTTAATCTTAAAATGAAAACTAGTTTGCATGTTGGATGGGTAACATGTGAAAATAGACAAAAAAAAGTATGAGAAATTTTGCTTAACAAATCTTAAGAATTAGTATCTTGCGTATGAAATCATTGTAATGTTAACTGATAATGTGCCAAATGTCCTTAACATATGCTTACTAATTTAAACGTTATAGCATGAAAACTATAACAAGCACACAATGGTTACGAGGTCGATCCGACGGACCGAGCCGATGTTGAAAGAGTTAAAACACCTAGGTGTACCACAGAGACCACCCTAGTAAGTCCCAGGAAATTCAAGCTCCTGTAGCCACCATGACACTTCTCTGCTGCCCTGTGCTTCAGATCACAGTAAATAACTAATAAAGTTTGTCGTAGAACAGCCTTGGTTTCAATTACCTATCTTTCAATCTCCTGATCCCAAGGACAAAGTGAAAACACTGACATAACTTACCATTGCCATCAGTAGTTCTGGGTCAAAGAGAGTACTTCTTCTAATCCTTGCTGCATTCTTGAAACAGGTCCTCACTTCAATTGCAGCTTTTTCCAGTTCTATGTAGTCCAAGAAAGTGATCTTCCCTGATCACAATTTACAAATGGTCCATTACCAGAGAATCAATGGAAGAAGGAGCACTTCAAAATAAACTCTGCAATAAACTTGTTTTGTAAAGTACTTTCGTCTTGATTGCTGAGTTATCATATCTAAACAAAAATACTTTTTATGGCAAAACCAGTGGCACAGCTAGACCTCATTGACCAATTACGTGGAGCAAAATTAAGTTCCTTACTTCCAGTCTATTAATCTAAATTTAAGAATCTCTGCATAATTATTACATGAATCTATTTTAAATATTCTGAAGATGCAATTAAACTAAAGAGTTTAATCACTTTAGACACAACAGACAAAAGAGTTTGGGTATGCACGTATTTTATTGGGTAGGGGCAAGTTGGTTTCTCCATTTAATAAGGACAGTAACCTGAGGTGAGACATACTCGCTATAATTTACAGAGACACTAAAACCAAACGTACTTTTGTGCGAAACTTTACGCAGAAGTCTGAAATGAACTAAAAAGAAATATTATGATTTTCGTTTAGTACAAGATGCGTTGACACCTTCCTAGTTTGGAAGTAATTGGAGTTAACTTTTTTCTATGATCTGGCACGAATTAATATTAAAACGTGCTTTATCATAGAGAGCCGGATAGCTATTTTCATTTACCTTTTCTGAAACAGTTTTATTTGTTAGTTTGTTGAATTTCGCTCACAGCTACTAGAGGGCTATCTGCACTAGATGTCTTTAATTTAGAAGTGACAAGATAAAAACAAAATTGGCAATTTAAAAACCTGCAAATAAGGATCATAAAAAATGTAAAGAAGGCTGGGGATTCTGTAGACAATATTTAATCAAACTACAAACCCCTATATTGGCTTCATGCTCTTACATAGAGTTACATTTGGTGGAGTCAAAATAGGGATTTGTAGTTCGAGTGAAAAATGTCTACAATATCTCCAGCTCTGTTTCCTTACATTTTTTACGATCCCTCTTTGCAGGTTTTTAAATTCTCAATTTTTTTATTTATCTTGTTTGCTGTTTTTATGCTCAAATATGGACAAAGGATATGGTAACTAACTTTACACATTGTAATGCTAATAAACATAGCTAGTAGCTAGCTGATGCAGTTCATGATGATTTACTGTAGCTATTGGCTATTTGGTTACATTAGTTCGAGATGTAAAATGTTAAGTTGCAGCTGAAGATTGTCATGGAGATTTGTATGAGAATACAGTGAGCATTTATAGTTTCTGTGTAACTAAATTCTCTATATAAAATGCATAGCAATGAGCAGATATATGTCTAGACTAAGATACAACTCCACTAATTTTACCAGTAGAAAAGCAACCTTTTCAAATAAAACATAGACATTTCAAACATTCCTTTAAATAAACCTTCGTGTATTTTAAAGTAATTATTCTAAGAATGTGTGTAATAAAATTTGATATTATGTGTGTGTTGGTTTTTTTATACCCCTCACTTCATACATAATATAGAAGTTGGCTTCCTAAAGACACCAATTGTATATTGTACAAAGCATTGCATATTATCCATGTTACAGTCATCTAATGTTCGTCTATTATTGGCTGGTAATTCCTGTTTCACCCTGTTTCCTTTTTAAAGGAACACCAGATGTTTGTAAGAAAGCTAACTTCAGGGGTAATGATAACATCGTTTAAACTACAAATATAGTGTTTTTTTAGCTTACGTAAAATATAGAAGAAATAAATCGACTTTTCAATACCCCTGTGGCCTTCACAGTACCATATTTAGTATTCTACAAAAGGTTTGGGTGCAATATACCAAGCCGTTTTTATTGTAGGCTAGCAAGAGAATAATCATAATTACAAAGGGGCCGTTTTGAGCAGATTTTCTTTTCCTTGTAAGTCCAACGTGTGCGTGTTTTTTTTTTTGTACATTTTTATACGTGTACAGCTTTAGCAGTTAATATTAAAAATATTTTTAAATGTTGTTTGAAGTGAATCTTTAGTGTTTAAGGTGCTTTTTGCCCGAACGTTCTGTTAGGGTTTTGTGCAATTCCTTGCGATCCGTTTTACGAACTACTAACGTGGTTCATGATAGACTAGAGGGAAGGCAGCTAATCAACACCACTCACCGCCAACTCTTGAGCTACTCTTTCTTTTACCAATAAAAAAAATGTTACTGACCGTCACATTATAACGCCCTCACAACTAAAAGGGGGAGTATATTTTAGTTTTGTTTTTCGATCATGGTAGGTATTTAGGTATTATAATAATAATAATACCAAGGGTGTTCGGGAATTCAGAGATTCTTCTTCATCTAATGCAGGTATGTTTGGTAAAGGGAGAAACGTGATGACCACAACATTGAGTAGAAGAGTTTATTTTTTTCTATTGTTTTTTTTTCTGCCTAACGGTACAAGTTGGTGAAATGAAAACAAACTATTGCACAAATGAATAGTTTTTAAACGTATCCAGTGATGACTAATTAAGATAATTTGCCCCTTTTTAAATTTAAAAATTTACATCATTGCGAAAATTATAATAATATGCTCCAAATAAAATGTAGTTTTATTCTCAAATAAGCAGCCATATTGGTTAACATTTATTTGTTTTTTTACAAAGTCTCAGCCTCTATAAAAGTGAGCTGAAACTAGGTGTCGCCTGATTTCTACTTCATTTTGGTTTTCTACGAAAACAGTGGTTTGCAAGTATGTTATGGGTATTATTGACGAACAATTTTCACTAGCTCCGTACATGAGACCAACCTCTACAAAAGCGAACATAAAATAAGTTCTATTTTTGTTGTTATTATTTTTTGGTCTTTATTCTCATAAATAATTATTGATGCACAAATTTTACAAGCCCCATGCAAAAAAGTCAACAGGAACTGCCTTTAGTCCGGTTATTATTTTTTGCTATAACTTAAGTACTTTACAGCTTCAAAATAAATCTATAGAATTTATTCAGCAAATAAACTATCTTAGATCATGATGAGGGTATGACGTGGTTTTCAGCTGTTGAATACTTTTTATTCATTATGACTGGGATATTGGAAAGGCACAATACTACAGTAGGATAGAATAAATTTCTGGTACTTCAAAACTTGATCATCAAGTACAAACTATCTTAGAAACTGAGCTTAAGAGTTACCCATTAGACGAAGATAGTAAAACACTTTTTATATGCACTGGCGCATGTATGATTTGCGGGAAAAATATATTGTTTTTCTATATTTAAGTTAATGTCTTTAATATCTAATAAAACATATTTCATACAGACTAAAGTAGAAAATTCATATTAATATCCCTAAATTGCACGAAATAAAACTGAAGGAGGAAAATAGCAAAATTTGGTTTTATAATAATTGTTTTGATATTATTATTTTTTGACCAAGTTTTTCTACCTCATTCCTGGAAATAAATAATTAAAAAGTTGCCCTCCTTCCCCTCCTCCCTTAAGCATTGTGTTGAGCGTGGCCTAGAGGTTAGCATGCCGGACTTTGAGTCCAAGATTCCACTGTTCGCGCCCGTACCGCAAAACCGCGTTCTAATGGTATGATTTGTTTTTACACAGTTACGTGAAATACTAGTTAACGAGATAATAATAAAATGGTATGAAAATGTTAAACTGAGGTAAAGTTTTTCTTTTAATAATAAAGCAATGATTAAAATACTTACTGATTCCGATGCCTCATTGAAACACGTCAGAATTAACAAAATCCCACAAGAGAATCCCAGTAATTTACCAGTGATCGGAAGAAACATCATCTTGGAATAATACTCAGCAAAACCTTTCCTTTTTCACGATGCTGCCTGCAGCAAGCCTTTCGATGTATTGATTGGATATTTCTACAAAGACAGAAATCCCCCGAGCTGTGTGAAGCCAAGATAGCACGAAAGAAGTGAATTTGTAGGAAATCAATAGATGTCGACTGATTTGTAGGAAAATAAGTGCCATCTAGCGTTGACTTTATAGTACATTGTCTCTGATGGGGTAGATACTTGCAATCGCATTATGAATGTTCTGTAGACAAATATTTAGGTTTTTGTTTGAAACTTTAATGTTAAACTATAAAACTTACTTAATAAACTTCCTTACTTAACTTAAGATTACTTAACAAAAATTATATTTTGATGAATGCATTTAAATGATTGTTGTTGTTGTCAGTTCATCGAGTATAACTTTTACGATTACTGGGCCAGAGATGACACAAGTCATAAAACATTGGTAAGGTGAACGAACTTGGAAACAAATAGTATCATACAGTGCCATCTTGTGACTGCATTGACTATTTTCACAATATTGCCGCGACTTTCTTAATATATGTGAGCTAGCAAATATGTATAATTGATATTTCTTGAAGTGTAATTTTTAGTTTAAAGTTGTCTATACCTCACAAAGGTTAATAAAGATGAGTATAATGACAGTGATTTGATTTGATTTGCCGTCCATACTTTCAATTACTTTAATAAAACTAGAGTTTTTTCTTTATGTGTAGATAATGAATATGTAATAGAACTGACGAGACCTGCAACAAAACATAAATTCCCTTTGTATTCCATTTTAAAAGACTGTTTGTTCATTTCCGATTTTCGTACAAAACTGAACAATAGTTATTTGCACTAGCCGTCCATAATTTTGAACTGATAGACTAGAAAGAAAGCAGCTAGTCAATAGTGCCCACCTCTAATTCTTGGGATACTTTAATCAAATATTAGGATTTCACTGTCACTGTTATAATGCTCCCAATGCCTCAAAGTGCGGAGCGCGTTTTTGCAGCAACAGAACGCGAACCATGAACCTTTGGATTCACGGTGTCCGGAACACTAAGCTACGCCAAACCTAACTCTAATGGAATACAATCATTGTAAAAAGTGGAAATTATCTCAGGTATTGCAGTGAAACTTAGAGAAGATTAGAAAGAAAAATTTATAGACTGAATAAAATTACGTAGCCAGCTTTTAACATGTTTTCTTGTGAAAATGTATAAATTCAGATACACTAATGTCTGCCAAAAAGTTTTGAGTATCCACAATACAATAGGTTCTGCAATTGTTATGCAAAGGATGGGTTTGAGCACGGAGAACGAAAGAAATGCAAGCAAAGACGAATGTACAAATAAACCAAATGTCTTTCTTCACGGAACTCGTACCGCAAATCACTTGAATATTTTACCATTGCTATAGCATGTATATACCAGACGAAGACAGGTGCAAGAATCATAATTAGATCACTCTTTCATGTCAGACTAATGATTTAATGCAGTATCCCACAATACTACGTGACCTAAGTTACGGTCTTTTCCATTATACATATATTCAATGAAAATAAACATCCAACTCATAATAACTCATAAAAGTGTTTGTAAATCCCCCTCCAAGTGAATATGACCTCTCCTAAGATGTGATGGCCCAAGAAAAGGGCTAAGCAAGCATAAAACTTACAAAGTAATTGCTGTACTAGATAACCTTTGTAAAAGCTAGAGGATTAGAGTGAAAATAAAAGATTACTTTAAAACTTTAGTTTTAGATTACATTTAGATTGTAATAATCTAAACCCATTCCCCAGAAGAATAATCAATTTCAAAAAAAAGAGAAAAAGTACCACACGCAAAATGATAGGATATAATTACTGCATGATTGAGATCTATGTACCAGATATAAGTTATTTACTATATGATTTGGGTGAAATCCAGATACTATGTGAAGTTACTGTACAATATGTAACGAAGTGTCAAGTAGTAGATACAGTTGTTAGGAACAATCACTGTATGAGGTGTACATGTATCTATATTCTAGTTAGATATACTCCCTCTATGGTCTGTATCTAGATCCCAGTTGTTAGGTACAATCACTGTATGAGGTGTACATGTATCTATATTCTAGTTAGATATACTCCCTCTATGGTCTGTATCTAGATCCCAGTTGTTAGGTACAATCACTGTATGAGGTGTACATGTATCTATATTCTAGTTAGATATACTCCCTCTATGGTCTGTATCTAGATCCCAGTTAGTAGGTATAGTTTCTGTATTTAGATCCCAGTTGTTAGGTACAATCACTGTATGAGGTGTACATGTATCTATATTCTAGTTAGATATACTCCCTCTATGGTCTGTATCTAGATCCCAGTTAGTAGGTATAGTTTCTGTAGGATCTGTATTTAGATCCCAGTTGTTAGGTATAGTTACTGTGTGGTCTGTATATATAAATTCCAGTTGCTAGATATCGTTGCTATATGGTCTGTATCTGTATTGTAGTTGTTAGGTATAGTTACTGTGTGGTCTGTATATATAAATTCCAGTTGCTAGATATCGTTGCTATATGGTCTGTATCTGTATTGTAGTTGTTAGGTATAGTTACTGTGTGGTCTGTATTTATATCCCAGTTGTTAGGTATAGCTACTGTATGGTCTGTATCTATATTTCAGTTATTTGGTGTAGTTACTTTGAGGTCTGTATCTATATCCCGTTTGTTAGGTATAGTCAATGCACGGTCTGTATGTATATCTCAATTGTTAGATATAGTTACTGTATATAGTCAGATGGTAGGTGTAGTTACTGTACGGTTTGTAGCTATAACGCAGCTGCTAGGTATAGTTACTGTGTGGTCTGTATTTTTATCTCATTTGTTAGGTATAGTTACTGTGTGATCTGTATCTAAATCCCACTTGTGAGGAATAGTTACTGTATGATCTGCATAACTGTTTTGATATTTTTTACATTTCCATGATTTGCTTCGCTTATAAATAGAAACGAATATTCACTGAAAGGTTACAGTCAGTTATATATATATATACTTTGACTACAATTCTAGCTTGATCTACATGCATTTTCGTAATTTTCTAAACACATTTAGACACTGGCAAAAAGAGACGACTCTTCACTTTAACCGAGTTGTAAAGGCTAGAAATTTTGAGAAGCAATTTTTCAGCTTGATTAAGTAATATTCAAAGAAAGTTCTCTCACTTAATCGGAAAATTAAAAGTTAAGCCAGTTGAATATAAAGAAAACGTTAAGTATTTCAGTTTTTTATTGTTGAGTTTTTCGTATTTTCTAGTTGTACGTATTTAAACAAGTATTCTAACTTATGTATCATTACTAGATCTTGTATATAATTATATGTATCGTTAATATTAACTTCTGATTAATATTACCTTCTTGAAGCAAAACTGAAAATCAACTTGGCAATGAATGTAGATAATTAAACAGACTTTGCTGCATATAACGATTAAAATGCCTTGTTTCGTCAGTCAGATACCTTTACTGTGAATGATATTTTCTGCCGTAAACTCAATAATATCTTACAAGGTTTGGCAAGCTTATAAAATTTAAGTTAATCCCGAATCCATATACTAAGCTAACAATGCAAAACAATCTTTGTAATAATAGTGTAATAAGAACAATAATAAGGTTAGATATATTAGACAATATAATCAATACTGTTAATGAAAGTAACAATCGAGAAATAATAGAGTATACCTCACTTACTGTACGTGCACACTTAACTAGTGTTACGTGTACCACAAGTGTGATACCTATTAGTGATTTGATTGATAAACATCCAGTGAAAATTAAACCTGTGATCTATTCCCTTAATAAAATAATTATTGAATATTTGGACGTGTATAATGATTTAGTTGATTATCTATCTCAAACGTCATTACTGATAATTTTTTTCCCATATTACTTTATAGATTATCTTTTTGTAATCACATAATGTTTATTATAGCTAATGTATGAAGACCTCAAATATTTTTTATTCTGCAGAAGTTAGTTAAGTATTCTAAATAACCAATTACACTTTTTTGGCGGGGCGTAGCTGCTTATAGAATGGCACTGAATTGTTGTTGTTGTTTTTTTCAAGTATAAACTTTGAGGCCCCCTAGTGGCACAGCGCTAGAAATTGGGTTTCGATACGCGTGGTGGGTATAGCACAGAATGCTCTTGTGTAGCTTTGTGCTTAACTACAAACAAGCAAATAAACTTTTAGCTCATAGCTCCATCTCTTGACCGATTTGAGATCTAATTAGAGCCGCTTATTCTTTACTTGTTAGTAGATAATTTTGTACAAATAAAATGTCATTAATTAATATTAGTTTTTGTTGCTTTTTTATTCTACAGTTTGTCGTTACGAAACTTATTTTGATCAATACTTTGTAAATATTATTTAGCATTTTTTCCATCTGAGTTTCAGTGTTATGCACGATTTTTAGTAAAGCTAGAATAAAACACTCTCATGAACGACCTGAACAACACAAATATTTTAGCTTTTCATTTAAAACGTCATTTTTTCAAAACAAAACATTCACCAATTCAGTCTTCTTTATCGTTCATTTCTGATAGCAGAAAACTGACAGAAAAATTCAGTTATCATATAGTTAACATATAGATGTTCATTCATAACAAAGTTGATAGAAACCAACCCATTTCAACCAACCAGTAAGTAAACAGGAGAAAGTTGACTCCTACTGGAAGAAGAACAAGAAATGAAAGGTTGCCTGCTGATCTCCTGTTTGTTTGCAGTTAAGCACAAAGCTACACAATGGACTATCGCTGCTCTGCCCACCACGGGTATCGAAACCGGATTGTAGCGTTGTAAGTCTGCAGACATGCCGCTGGGCCATGGGGGGGGGGGGGCGCTGATCCCCTGAAGATAATTCATGGAAGTCAAGTGTCATCGAATTGCATGAAAGAATGAGCGAGATGATTAGAAAAGAAAAATAGGATGATAGGGGAAAAACATTCTACAAATTTCAAAAACTGCCCAAATTTGGAAAATAAATATAATCGGGATAAAAATAAAGACGCTCGTGGGAAAACAAATGTGGAAAATGTAACCTGACAAATATGTTGGAACAACGACGATGAGATGCCAGAAGTAAAATAAACTAGGATTTAAGGGAAGAGTAAATAAAAAGAAAGACGACAAAGAGTTAAAAGATACAGGAGACAGATCTGAGACCAAGCACATGTCCCAGTTTGAAAGAAGAGCAGGATGTGAAGGACAAATATCCGAAACTATCGAACAACGTAAGCAAGATCCACACTGTCTAGCCGTTAACTTCAAAGAAATCTTAAGACCGTAATATAGATTCATACCCACATGCAATTGTACGTACTCTTCCGATGAAAGCTTCCTTTTATTTCAATAATATATAATTTACCTTAAAAGCAATCTCCAGATTTTCAACAGTGAGTTAATGAAATAAAACGAGAACATTGTTTAATAATAGTGAGAATGGGATACTACAATAAGTGTGCAGTTAAAGCGTAATTTGTATATGTATGTCAGTTTGTTTGTTTTTTTCACCAAAGTTATTATATGGTGAAGTAAAACGAATTCAAAACCCCATAGGTAAAGCCTAATTTGTTGTGGAAATACACTGGATAATTTCTGATCCCATCAAGACATTTGTCATCTAAAGTTATAAACAGTATACAATAACTTAGAATGGTGACTTTCAGTGCCTATGGTTGTATGTAAACTTGTAAAAACAACATCTGTATAAGCAGCAAATCTTGATTAGCTGATTCTCGTGATTTGAAACCAAATATTCGTAAAAACAGTAAAATTACCTTTCACAGCCAGTATTAATGAACAAAGTGAATTAAAAACGTTAAACATGAATAAATTTAATTACATTAAAGTCTAGGAGTTTTAACCTGCATATGATTAAAAACATTTACAGATACAGCAACAATTTCTGAATAATTATAGTTATTGCAGATCGTAAATCTGTAAGTCTAATGTTCAGTGGGTTAATGATAATAGCACAGCAGACCAAATGTTTTTATACGAGAATTAGTTCATAGTTGTATCTTACTTAATTAATTGTCCAAACTACTCATTAGATGGCAGGACAGTCGAGCTTAAAACTGAAATTACGTTATTGTGGAAAGAATAATAATAGTATCTCTACTTTCTTAACAAGAGAGAGTTTTGTTGGAAGTTCGCGCAAAACTATACGAGGGATATATGTGGTAGCCGTTCCTAATTTAGCAGTGAAAGACTAGAGGGAAGACAGCTAGTCATCATCACCCACCC